GAACCCCATCTTTTACCCTATCTTGACACCCTGGCAGATCCAACTTTCCAACAAGATAATGCCTGACCACATGTTGCAAGAGTCACAATAGACTTCTTCCAACATAATGATGTCACATTGTTACCATGGCCACCAAGATCTCCCGACTTATCCCCAATTGAGCACGTGTGGGATATGATGGGTATCAGATTGCTCAATTTGCAACGTCCTCCTCAGACTCTAGAAGCACTTCGAGAGGAGGACATTGACCACCTGATCAGAAGCATGCCTAGGCGCGTTGGAGAATGCGTAGCACATCAGGGTGCATCCACACATTATTAAAGGTCAAAGGGCTTTAAAGCAGTGCAACCATTTTGAAATTTTTATCATTTACTTATTATGCTTCATTAAGAACTTACACAAAATTTTATTAAAATAAAACCATTTAAACTGGGTGTTCGGATTTATATGTCACTTAGTATATATTCATACTAATTTTCTTACCCTGCTAACCGGGCCCGTTCAAAAAATGAGTAGTGAGGGGAGTTTTCTAAAAAGCACTCTATACATACAAATGTAGTTGAACCTATGAGTAACTGGAAGGTCTATTAATAAACTAATCACGATAAAAATCAACTCGAAGGAAGAGTAATGCTTCAAAACGTAAAAGCGCAATTAAAAACGGAATGTAATTAAGCGAAGTAAGAGTATATGCTCTGCTACTCCGAGCACTCTCTATATCATCAACATTACGGCGATCAAATCAATACGCTGAGCTAGAAAAGGATTTTGTGGAATTTTCTGTTTATTTTTGACGTTAGCTTCTTAAGTGTGCAAGTTGGAATTTTTCATATTTCTCAATGCGATGTTTGCTTCATTCAAGGAAACTGCTGATTATGATTATACAGGGTGATTAGAAAACTTATTTTTTTCATTTCAATGACTGACTGTCCCTCAAGGTTTGCAGTCTTGGCATCTTTTCCAAAATTCAGAACTGAAATTCTTCTTTCGATTTTTTTTCGCAAACTTCCGCTGTATGTCAGTGCTTTCTTGATTTCTGTTCAGATCCACAAACAAAAACGAATTTTTTCCCAGAAAATCGCCAAAATTCAGAAAAGCCTCATTTTCACTGATTTTCTCCAATATCACATTTTAAACATAGGATATCATAAGTTGCCTGACTTAAAAGCTTGATAAGCATATGCACTTTTGTCCACTCTATCAGGTTCCATAGTCGACATTTTGATATGTCTTTCGAAAAATTGCGAAAGTAGGTATTTTCGATGTTTTTCTTATGTATTTTTTTCACGCTGTTTTTAGCTCTGTTGTCGAAATAATATTTTTTTGTCGGGAAAGCCGCCAAAAATCGGAAAAAAATAATTTTCACCGATTTTCTCCAATTTTTGACATTCAAGTTCCACAGTGAAAATTTCCAAAACAGGAAAAACTCCATTTTCGCCGAATTCCTTCAATTTTTTCATGTTTTTGTCCATTAAGCCGTTGTATATAAGATATGTTGCCGAAATGGCCGTTCGGGTTTTTAATTTTTTTCTTATTTTTACCTTATAAGACTGACTACAATATAGTTTGAAATATTTTACAAATGGATAAAATGTACATTACGATGAACAAACGAGGAATCTGCGGAAAGCATGAAGAACCTCTATTTATCATCTCGGGCTTGGATGCTTCCCTTAGCATTTTCTTCTTCCACGTGCATCCTTTTCTGCATCATAACTTATATGTACTGCTTTACGTTCTTTTATATGATTTCTTGTCCGAATAATTGCCAAAAATCCGAAAAACTACATTTTTCCGATTTATACACTTCAAGCATTTGTACACGCATAAGTGTACAGTAGATTTTTGAGTTAGTCAACCATTCCTTTACTGGCATAAAATGTCAAAAATTGAAGAAAATCAGCGAAAATACGGTTCTTCCTTTTTTCACAATTTTCCTGGATATGAATAATATAATCTGAAATAATGGGCAAAACACAAATGTATACTCGGTTTTTCAGTCAGCCAAGTTATAATATCCTACTCAAAAAATGTAAAAAAACGAGAAAAACCGGTTAAAATGCGGTTTATCTAAATTTGGACGAATCTCTGGAAAAAAAATCATGATTTTTACAATAGAACTGAAAAGAAAAAACCCTCGCGATTACAATACTTCATCGCCTGTAGGCGTGGGAAGTAAAAGATGGAATATGCAAATTTTAATTGTATGAGTTCGTTTAACTAAGTTGATTCGTTTAATTTCTTTGTTATTCATGTTCTTAGCTAACTTTTTTCTCCCACGCCGAATATACAGGGTGGCCAATATATAACTGACTGATTTAAATTGCGCGCCATATTTGATACACGCATTCCAGTAGGTGGCGCCATAGTACTTGTTTAAAGCAATTGATCATGGAGCGCTACACGATCCCAGAACGCGTCCGTATTGTTAAAATGTTTTACTTGAATAATGAGTTAATTGTTGCAACGATTTCGGCAAAAATAACGGTGGTCGGCGAGTGTCAACACCATTCGTCAGTTGCTGCGAAAATTTGAACAAACAGGTGAAATTAAAGACTTGCCAAGGTCGGGCCGTGTTCGAACTGTTCGTACTCCGGAAAATATCGAGACAGTTTGTGAAAGTGTAGTGGAGCGCCCTGGGACGTCTACCAGACATCGTTCTCAAGAACTTAGTATTTGTCGCATATCATTATGCACTATTTTGAAAAAAGACTTGCATTTGCGGCCATACAAGGTTCAATTAACCCAAGAACTGCAGCCTAGTGATCATGAAAGTCGTCGACAATACATTCAAGCAATATTGCAGCTTAATACCCAAAATAACGGGATTTACCGACAACTGACAATGAGCGATGAAGCTCACTTCAATATGAAAAGATATGTAAATAAGCCGAATTGTTGTATCTGGCATTAGAGAACTCTTTAACTCTTTTAAGTTTTGCATATGGAAATAAATCAACACGGTAGGTAGTTTTAAATGACTTTATTGTTTTTCGAAGTATTCTTTCACATCTGCATGCGCTCGAACCAATTTTCGAAGCACTTATTCCACTCGTTTGCTGGCAGATCCAAAACGGCATTTTTTAATGCGTCAACTGCTTTTTCTGGTGACTGGAACCTTCGACCACCCAGTCTGTTTTTGATTTTCGGGAAAGTAAAGAAATCGTTAGGACTTAGATCGGGACTATATGGAGGATGGTCCAATAATTCCAGGTTTTCTTCCGTTAAATACTGCCTTATTTTTTGGGCTGTGTGCGAGCTTGCATTGTCTTGGTGGAGGATGGTTCTTCTTTCGGGGTTGATTTTTCGAAGCTCGGTGATGACTTTCGGCAAACAAATGGTGGTATACCAATCCGCAGTAACAGTTCGTTGCTCATTAAGAGGAATTGTTGCAATATGACCCGCTTTTGACACAAATGTCCCGACCATCTTTTTCGAAACACCTCGAGAACGGATGACTTTTGTTGGCTTTTCTTCACCTTGGAACACCCAAACAGCCGACTGTCGTTTATTTTCTGGTTCATAACAGTAAATCCACGATTCATCACCACTAACAATGCTGTACACATTTTTTGAGATTCCGGAATTGAAACGCTCAAGCGTTTTTTGACACCAATTAACCCTGGCTGCTTCCTGCTCTTTAGTCAACAGGTGGGGTATCCAACGAGAAACTAATTTTCTTACTCCTAATTCTTCATGTAAAATGTTTTGAATTGAGGTCTTTGAGATCTTCAAGGACGCCTCAACCTCGTGACATGTCACATGTCTATCTTCAATGATGAGTTTGCGCATGGCATCGACGTTTTCCTGGGTGACTGCCGTTTTTGGTGCAGCCTCCCTGGGATCGTCGCTAAAACTCACCCGTCCACGTTTGAATTCTCCATACCAACGGCAAATTGTCGACTGATGTGGCGCTTCGTAGCCGAAAACAGGTAGTAACTCAGCAAGGCATTCTTGTTGAGATAATTGTCTCTGAAAGTTGTAATAAATTATGGTGCGAAAATGTTCTCGGTTGCGTTCCATTGTTCTAATGACTTGGTGCGACTTAAAAATTCACTGTAGTGAGAACACTGTACGTATTGTTGTGAAAATTTGAATTTAAGTTTACTAAAGAGTGAGGTTAAGATTCAGTACTGACGTTCGATCCGCGCGGCCTAGATATTTCTATATGCAAAACTTAAAAGACATCCCTCGTACATCCTCGATGAGTTACAGTTTGGTGCGGTGTTTGGTATGGAGGTGTCATTGGATCTTACTTATTTGAAGGCGCTACAGGTAATTCTCTTACTGTCACTTGCGAGCGCTACCTCAAATCCAACAATTTAATCTGCAGGACATGTGGTTCCAGCAGGACGGAGCACCTTGTCACACAGCTAGGGAAACAATGAATCTTTGCAAACAATATTTCCGGGACGTTTAATTTCTCTATTTGGTGATGTCAACTCGCCAGATTTAACGGCTCCTGACTTTTTTATGAGTGCTTTTGAAAAATAAGATTTATGCCAACAAACTAAATACTGCAGAGCAGCAGGAGAACAATATTACGGAAGCGATTGAAAATATTCCTCTCGAAACGTACCAAAATGTGATGGAAAATGTAATCAAGAGGGTTCAGGTTTGCGCGGACATTTGTCTGATATTATTTTTCGTACATAATTTCTGAGTTTCAATCAAATACTAAGATGAAAAAATGAACATATTTTATTTCATTTCGCAAATATTCAAGATATAAAACAGTTAGTTGCATATCGACGACCCTTTAGTTCTTTATGAACTGATGACAGCATTGCGTATTAAGTGTATAGTCAACCTACTTTACGCCATTTTATGACTTACAAAGTAGAGTTGCGGGCAGCGTAAAAGCTAACATGTTCATACTCGTTTTCACGACTATGTAATGAAAATAATGAATATCCGATAGACCGATAACACCATTATGTCGATGTTTGAAATATTGGCAAAAATCTGTATCACCTACTCAAAATTCTTATTTGTTTCAGAGCCAGTTGGTGAGGTAGGAGCCCTCAAAGAGAATGATGCATGAGTAGCTGACTTTGGCATTGGCGACACTGCCACCGGCCGCCCCGATTCGTCGTCATTCCGCCCTCCGATATGGCATCGGTCGCCGCTTGGCTGCCCTTTGCGCGAGCGGCGGCCATTGGCTGGGTGCCCATCGCAACCCACCCTCTACCCCCGCCCCCCGTGCCCAAGGACCGTCGGAAGGCGGACGACGAAAAGCTGCTCATCAATGTCTCGGGCAGGAGGTTCGAGACCTGGAGGAACACTCTCGAGAAATACCCTGATACCCTACTGGGCTCCAACGAGAGGGAGTTCTTCTACGATGAGGATGTTAAGGAATATTTCTTTGATAGGGATCCAGACATTTTCAGGTAACTTAACTCATAGTCCAAATATACTCATTGAACACCCTCCGAAATGGTTATTATATTTGAATGAAATTTTATACAGAGTGTTTTCAAAGTGGAGTCATTTATTTTAACTGCTTGTAGGACACATCATAACGGTTGACATAGCGAAAAGTATACAGGGTTATCCACAAGTCGTGAACAAAAATGAAACATCATACACAGGACTGCATTTTAGCACCCCGATTCTTTCTAATGAAGTCCTCGAAGAAAAAATGTTACATAGAAGACTCCCCCTTAAAATGCGGTCCTGTGTAAGATGTTTCATTTTTGGTCACGACTTTTGAATGACCCTGTATAAAAGTTGCATAGTAAAATAAATAGTAAAAGATTAGTAATTTTTTTTCAAAATAATGTTATAGCACATTCTTTTTGATATTCTCGACCACTGCCGTGTAAAATCTTAGCGTTTTTCGTTAACTACTCTTATCGTTTAACTAAACTTGGCAAACTTTTTGTGTTATTGTATGGTTTTCAGTACGAGTTGGTTTGATCAGCTCTATCACCCATTTCTAGGCGTGCTCGCTCCCCCTGGATTTAACGTCTTGCGATTTTTTTCTGTGGGGCTATTTGAAAGAGTTGGTGTATCATGTCCAACAGTGACCCATTAACAGGACAATATTATACAAAATCCACAAAAAACATACAGAACAAACTAAATAACAAAACAAAAATATCCCATGTATAGCCTTGACCTACATTTGTATTAGCTATCCTAACTAATTCTTTGTTAGAAGTACAAAATATGTCACAGAAAGTACAGATTGATGTTGATCTTTCCAAGAAGTGAGGGACTGTCAATTAGATTATTTAAAAGCTTAAACAAAAATATCAATGTCGCGCAAGTCCTACGCTGCTCCAGAGATATAAGGTCAACACGACTGTATAGTTCGGTATTGGTAACACCCCTTTCTGGGTAAATTCCATCAATTTTATAAACTAAGAACTTAGAAAATATTCTCTGTACTTTCTCCAAACAACTCTTTTGGCACTCATAAAATGGATTCCACACTATGCAAGCATTCTCCAGTTTAGACCTCACAAAAGCAAAATACAGTAGCTTAATGGTTCTTATGTTATGGAAATTTCCACAGTTTCTAACAACAAATCCATATAACTGTATAGAATGTGAAACTAATGCTGCAATATGTTTACCAAATGTCAACATGTAATCAAAAATCACACCTAAAACCTTAATTTCGGTACAACACTCCAGAGATAGCTCATTTAACAAATAAATAAAGTGATAGGTAGTTTTCCTCCTAGAATAAGTCATAATTTTACATTTGGGTACGTTAAGAAATAACTTATTGGTATCACACCAGTGCTGGAGGATGTCCAATTGAGTCTGAAGGAAAGTACAATCATTCAAATCATTGATAACGGAATATATTTTCAAATCATCCGCAAAACATAAACGCTCACTCTGCAAATCTTCACATAAATTATTGATGAATAGCAAGAACAGCAAAGAACTCATATTTGAACCTAGCGGAACACCGGATGAGGCTAAGTAAGTATCAAAACGAAAATTATTATAAGAAACAAATTGCCACCTCGAAGATAAATAAGATTCAAAAAGGTCCCTAGCATCACTAGAAAAACCAAATTTGATTAACTTTTCCAAGCAATACATCATGATTTATTCGATCGAAGGCCTTCGAGAAGTCCGTGTAGATGACGTCAACTTGACGATTGTTGTCCAATGCCTCCGAAATATATTGCGTTATGGTAACTAGATTTGTAGCAGTTGATCGGTTTTTAATAAATCCGTGTTGATGTTGTGAGAGTTGATTATGCGCCGAAGTATAAATACGATTGTAAAGTATTATCTCAAAGACCTTCGAGAACATCCACAAAATGGAGATCGGACGATAATTTTCAATGTTCGACCTGCCTCCAGTTTTTAGCACAGGGGACACTTTGGCGACTTTCCAAAGTTTCGGAAACTTCTTCAACCGAATACACAAGTTAAAGAATTTTGTTAAAAAAACACGAATCCTCCGACACAATCCTTGATCAAAAAGGATGGAATATTATCGGGGCCTGAAGTCATTTTGTCCTTAAGATCCTTAATAGCAATCATTACTTCATTATCATAAATTTCATCAAAATGTACATGAGCAACATTGTAGAAACTATCGTCCACATTACCCAAATTGGCTGCTTGAGACTCTATGTAGACACTCTTGAAAAAGACACTAAAGGCATTGACAATGTCTTGCGGATTATCAAATGATTCGTTAAGGTAAAACATCTTTCCAGGGATCCTAGAAGTGTTCTTTTTTGAATTCACATATGACCAGAACCTCCTAGGATCATGCGATAATGAATTATGAATATCTTCAAGGCAGTTGTCGTATGCACATTTGATCTGGACCTTAATCAATTTGCGTAGCCGCTGAAATTCGCATTCATCAGCTCCCCGACCAAACCTCCTGAATTTATTTCTGTACTTCACATTTTGCTTAATTTTGCGGATAATTTTCGCGTCAAACCAACGGGGGTAATTATGACTATAACTTATATAGGTTGGTATATGTTTATCAAAAATGCTAAATATTGTCTCGTATATTTTATCAAGGACAGCATTAACATTTTCAGAGGCAAATAATACGCTCCAGTTCTCTGTAAAGAGAAGGAAAATCCGCTTTTCTGAATTTGTAGACACGTTCACTTGAATTGAATTCGGACTGAAAATGGAGGATTTTATTTTCGAAGCTTGTCAAGAGCCGTGGATTCGCCGCGCAAGATTTTGCGTTAATCGAACAGATGGGGACAATTTTGAACAGTTTTTAATCATGTAAATTAACTCTCTTATTATGCAACTTTTATATAGGTGATTTTTGGTATATCAACTTCTTTTGACGAGTTTTATAAGCTATTAAAATAAATGACTCAACTTTGAAAATACCCTGTATAATGGTTTTATTAGTCAGATCAGCATGGGCCCTTCCATTGTCGATCTACCTAATTTTTTCGGACGATTACAGAAAACACTTATTGGTGCATTACTAGCTGGTCCGATTGAAGTATTGATTAGGTTTTAATAATAAATTATTTTCAGGCATATCCTGAACTACTACAGAACAGGCAAACTGCACTACCCGAAGCACGAATGTCTGACGAGTTACGATGAAGAGTTGGCCTTTTTTGGAATACTTCCGGATGTCATAGGAGATTGCTGTTACGAAGACTACAGAGACAGAAAACGTGAGAATGCCGAGAGACTGATGGACGACAAGTTGTCGGAAAATGGGGATCAGAACATGCAGCAGCTGACCAATATCAGGCAGAAGATGTGGCGGGCTTTCGAAAACCCGCACACGTCGACTGCAGCGTTAGTGTTTTATTATGTGACAGGATTTTTCATTGCTGTGTCAGTGATGGCCAATGTGGTCGAAACTGTGCCCTGTGGAAGCAGACCTGGGGGAGCGGGATCATTACCTTGTGGTGAACGGTAAGCTGCTTTTTCCATTTATTTTTACTTCGAAACAATTGAACCAGCCATTTCAGAAGCCTCATAAGTCACACCACTAGAATTTCCCAGGAGTCATTTACAAATAACCGAATTTTAATGGATTTGTTTGGGCTTAATATAAGTAGTATTCTGAGTGACAAAAAAAGGTAAACACCTACGTATGTTTATTAGAATTTAAGAATTGTTTACATATCGATTCACATTGCCATGAACAAGTGACAAAATGGCCAGGTTTTTCTGTAAAGTTTATGTGGTGGCTGCGTGTATTGTTTGGTTAAGCATTCAGTTTTCGTCAGTTAAATGTCAAATTCCGTGTAGCTTACTGAGGAGCCTTTATTGCTCAAAATGTCCAGAGCGCGGAGAATTCGCCCGGTGTCCCAGCTAAGTGACTTTGAGGGGGGGGGGCGAATTGTCGTATTGGGTGAAGCCCGTCTATCGATAAGAGAATTTGTTTCGAGGACCAACAGATCCTTACGCAGTATAATGTAAACGAGCGTGGGCTCAGGAAGGCCTAGGACAGCGAGCGAGGGGTTCTGGAGGTCCCAGAGGGACCACAGAGCGACAAGACCGCCGGTTAAGACTTCTGGCTCTAATGGTGGTTTGCACCGGTTCGGGTTAAAGTGAGGGTTAGCGCTAACTTCGAGTTAGTCTTTGCACCGTCATAGCTATCTCGGAGTTAAGGCCTAACTCTGGGACAAATTTACCTCTCACTTGAACTAAGTGTTAAGGCGGATAGCACCATGAAAATGTAGAGTAATACCTGCGTATCGCAATGGGTACTGACAATAAAAACGAGGTTAAGACTTAAATGTCAAATGACGTTCTTTTAACGCTTACGGAACCAAATTTGTAAAACTCTCTAATGTTGGTTCTTGTAGCTGTTTGTTGGGCTGTTTAGATTTCATTCCAGAGGAATAAGGTCATCCTCGTCGAATTCTTCATTATTTATGGTTACGTCCATAATTACCAGGGTGCTTTGTGGACAATGCTGTCGGCTGTATGATGCGACTTGTCGATCCACAGCGAAAAATGTTTTCAAATTCCCAACTTCCAAACAGAATCACAAATATATATACTAAGTGACATATAAATCCGAACACCCAGTTTAAATGGTTTTATTTTAGTAAAAGTTGGTGAATGTATTTATCTTACTGTAAATAACAAGTGAAAAAATTTTCAGCCTTATCAGTTGGACATTCCGGTTTTTATACTGCTTTTTTTTAATTCACTAACGCTCTAAAAATGAATATTTCAGCCGCAGTAAAGAATCAACGTTGGCGGATTTTGGTTCTTGACATCCTTTACGATCGGTTACGATGCCTAGAGTACGGAGACCTGTACGATTTCGTCAACTTAGTGAGTTTGATAGGGGCCGTATAGTGGGACTTCAGGAAGCTGGACTTTCTTTTCGGGCAATTGCAGTTAGAGTGCAAAGAAGTGTAGACACTGTGGTTAGGTGTTATCAGGCATGGCTTCGAGAAGGCCGTACGGAAAGAGCAAGGGGCACTGGACGCCGCCGTAGAACAACAGACCGTGAAGATCGCCGCCTAAAATTATTGGCCTTAAGGGACCGTTTCTCCACTACCAGGTCCATTGCAAATGAATGGTTTGCAGAAGACCTATTGGCATGCGAAGTGTTTACCGACGAATGAGAAGTTTTGGCTTGTTTTCATACCGGCCACACTGGGTCCTCCCTTTAACTCGAGAACAGCGACGTAATCGCCTTGAGTGGTGCAGACAACGGTCACTCTGGGATCAGGAATGGAACAGTATTGTCTTTAGTGACGAGTCTAGATTTTGTTTAGGCATGCACGATGGTCGTGCTAGGGTTAGAAGGCGACGTGGTGAAAGGAGGAATCCACAGTTTTTTGTTGAAAGACATGTTCATCACACTGTTGGAGTTATGGTTTGGGGTGCTATAGCTTATGGTTCCAGGTCACCTTTAATCTTCATCAGAGGTAACATGAACGCGCAGCGTTATATCCACGAAGTTCTAGAACCAGATCTTTTACCCTATCTTGACACCCTGGCAGATCCAACTTTCCAACAAGATAATGCCCGACCACATGTTGCATGAGTCACAATAGACTTCTTTCAACATAATGATGTCACATTGTTACCATGGCCACCAAGATCTCCCGACTTATCCCCAATTGAGTGTGGGATATGATGGGTAGGAGATTGCTCAATTTACAACGTCCTCCTTACACTCTAGAAGCACTTCGAGAGGAGTTGGTGGTTGCCTGGAATGAGATACCACAGGAGGACATTGACCACCTGATCAGAAGCATGCCTAGGCGCGTTGGAGAATGCGTAGCACATCAGGGTGCATGCACACATTATTAAAGGTCAAAGGGCTTTAAAGCAGCGCAATCATTTCGAAATTTTTATCATTTACTTATTATGCTTCATTAAGTACTTATACAAAATTTTATCAAAATAAAAGCATTTAAACTGGGTGTTCGGATTTATATGTCACTTAGTATATATATATATATATATAATTTGAAAATATTTTATCCAGTCAAATCAAACACAAACGATAATCGAAAAAATAGCAAAGAAACTGAATACAAATCACAAGTACTAAAATGTCAAAATGTACGTCCATCTTTCAGATCCCAGCACAAATCAACAAACTTTTAGCACAGAACTAGCCTTTGTGGCAATAATGCCAATAAATGTATTAATTCTAAGAAATATCCCTATATTCCCAGCTTGCCAACATGACCAAAAGTCGGGGTTTATAACCCTAGAGTCAAACCTTGACGGTGCAAAGCTACTGGAATTTAACCTGGGGTTACCGCTAATTCCCAGTTAAGTAACCCTCACCTTTAATCCAAAGCGGTGCAAACCACCGTAAGAGACAGATTCAGTAGTACCCGAGCCATCGCTAATCAGTGGTTTGAAGAACAGTTTGGCCTTTTTTCTTATCGCCCACATTGGGTGCTACCTCCCCCAGCTGAACATCGGCGTAACCGTTTGATCTGGTGTAGAGACAGAATTCTATGGGTCCGGGAATAGATTCAGGTGGTCTTTAGTGACGAATCCCGCTTCTGTCTGGGGATGCACGATGGTCGGGCAAGACTGAGAAGGCGACGTGGTGAAACACGTGATCCACGATTTGACAGAGAGCGTCATGTCCACCACACCGTGGGAGTTATGGTATGAGGGATGTCTTTTAAGTTTTGCATATAGAAACATAGTAGGCCGCGCGGATCGAACGTCAGTACTGAATCTTAATCTCACTCTTTAGTAAACTTAAATTCAAAGTTTCACAACAATACGTGCAGTCTTCTCAATACAGTGAATTTTTAAGTGTCACCAAGTCATTAGAAAAATGGAACTCAACCGAGAACATTTTCGCGCCATAATTTATTACAACTCTCAGAGACAATTATTGCAACAAAAATGCCTTGCTGAGTTACTGTCTGTTTTCGGCAACGAAGCGCCACATCAGTCGACAATTTCCCGTTGGTATGAAGAATTCAAACGTGGGCGGGTGAGTCTTAGCGACGATCCCAGGGTAGGTGCACCAAAAACGGCAGTCTCATCACTCATCATTGAAGATAGACATGTGACATATCGCGAGATTGAGGCGTCCTTGAAGATCTCAAAGACCTCAATTCAAAAAGTTTTACATGAAGAATTAGGAATAAGAAAATTAGTCTGTCGTTGATACCCCACCTGTTGACTGAAGGGCAGAAAGCAGCCAGGGTTAATTGGTGTCAAAAAACGCTTGACCGTTTCAATTCCGGAAACTCAAAAAATGTTTACAGCATTGTTAGTGGTGATGAATCGTGAATCTACTGCTATGAACCAGAAAATAAACGACAGTCGGATATTTGGGTGTTCCAAGGTGAAGAAAAGCCAACAAAAGTCACCCGTTCTCGAAGTGTTTCGAAAAAGATGGTCGTCCAGTCACCAGAAGAAGCAGTTGACGCATTCAAAAACGCCATTTTGGATCTGCCAGCAAACGAGTGGAACAAGTGCTTCGAAAATTGGTTCGAGCGCATGCAGATGTGTATTAATCTTCATGGAGAATACTTCGAAAAACAATAAAGTCATTTAAAACTACCTACCGTGCTGTTTTATTTCCATATGCAAAACTTAAAAGACATCCCTCGTATGGGGTGCTATTGCTTGGTAGCATGCCTCATCTTATTCCATACCTAAACACCATCCAAAACAAGACAATGCCAGACCGCACGTTGCCAGAGCATCGTTAGAGTTCATGGATCAACATCGCATCAACCGTTTACGATCGCCTGATCTATCTCCAATTGAACATATCTGGGACATGAGAGGTCGCAGGCTCTTGAATTTGAAACACCCTCCATAGACTTTAGCAGCTCTTACTCACGAAGATGCAGTAGCCTGGAACGAGATACCCCAACAGGATATCGGCCGCCTTATCAGCACGATGCAGAGGCATGCAATGAGTGTATAAGCAATCGTGGATCCTCAACACATTATTGAACCAGCATCTGCAGTCAGTTGACGAATCAGGCTGAAAATTTAATCATTTCACTAGTAAGGGATACTGAACATAAAATATATCAATGGTCTAATTCTAATACCCCAGTATCTGAAAAAAAAAACAAATTTTACATTTTCGCGCCATAATGTTACTTTTCGCGCCATTCAATTGTACGTTTACTCTACCAAGTTAATAATAGTTTTGTTTAGTGTCAAATGTTACCTATTATAATACCCCGTACCATTACATTTTTTAGTTATTTTTTTTCTAATAACCGTATCTTACTTAATTCAATAAAAACAAATTTAAAATAAAAGACATTTTATCATTTAGTTATGAAAATGTAATATAAAAAAAGTGTCCTTTTGAATCATATTTAGCACCTTACAAAATGAAAAACCCTCTCCTGTAAAATAAAGATCCATACAGTTACGGGGTATTAGAATTAGACCATCGGTATGCCAAAAATTATTAAAATCGGATAAACACACGTAGGTGT